GTGTGCATGTGTATGTCAGTGTGGATGCCATGAGATGAGATAAAAGGTTGAAAGGTCCCATTCTCGCCCTTCTCTAGACTGTGTGTGTATTATGTGTGATGTGTGTGCATATGTGTATTGCGTGTGTGGTGTGTGTGTGTGCATGTGTATGTCAGTGTGGACGCCATGAGATGAGATAAAAGGTTGAAAGGTCCCATTCTCGCCCTTCTCTAGAACAGCTGCACTTAGAGGATCTTAGAAATTGTTTTAAGGATGTGCAAGAAAGTTATGCTTTTCACTGCTCTGGAAAAAAAAAGAAAAAACCCTTTTCTATATCTCCTCCTTAAAAATGAAGGGATATTTGGTGATTACAGGTTGAGTACCCCTGATCTGAAAACAGAACTCAAAGTACTTTGGAGTTTCCTAGTTTTGATTTAGAGACGCTCAGCCGTGACAGCCGGAGAAATGTGAAACACTTGCAGCTCAAGGGTTTTGGACAAGGGCTGGTCCACCTGTTCTGTGTTTATCGTCCTCCATTGGAGGCTGGTGTCTGGAGACGCAGTCGTCTTCCAAAACCATTGATAACATTTCTTTTTAAACTTTCAGTTTCGTACATGTATCTTCTCACCCATCCCCAAAAATCTCTGCTTCTCATGACTGTTGCCAAGCCCAGGCTTGTTAAAAGCGTTTAAAATATGTAGACCAAAGCATTGTAAAAGTAAAGTGCTTCTCTGCTGATGCAGGTTTATTTAAAATTTCATCCCAGGAGCCTTGAAGTCTGCTTATTGGTTTAAATTTAGCTAATCCTTGAGTTCCAAGAAACCTAATGGCCCTATGGATTTTAAAACGTGTGTTGAAAAATGGGGTCCATGTTTCTCTGGCCATCAGCTTGCAACTACTAAGAAGAAAAAAAATCACTGTTCTCATAAATTTTCCTCAGATAATACATTTGTGTCAAGACAGAAATAGAGAAATGTTCCTTAGGGCTTTCAGCTAATGCTCTGTGCTCTGTTTTGTTTTAAGTGGTAGAGGAGCTGGTGAGACGGCTCAGTCAGTAAAGTGCTTGACTCACAAGCATGAGGACCTGAGTTGAGTCCTCAGCATCCATGTAAAAGGCCTGGCATGGCCAACACATGCTTGTAATGCCAGCATTCAAGAGGCAGAGACAGGCGGATCCTTGGGGCTTGCAGGTCAGTGGATCTAGCAGTCAGTGAGCTCCAGGCTCAGTGAGAGACACCCCCCCTCCCCGAAACTAAGGTGGAACGCATTGAAGAGACAGTCCGTGTCAAACTCTGGTCTCCACACACACATGAACATGTATAGACACATAATGAAGAAAGACATCAAAGTAGTAGAGCATTTTCCCCAAGTCTCTTCATTTGCTAGCAAAATGATGACGTCTTGCTTGACGCACAGCTGAGGGAGAGGTTCATTTTGTTTGTTTTGTCGTTTCTTGGTTTGGGCTTTTAATTTCATCGATTCAAGAATTTCATAGAATATATTTTGATCATATTCAAACCCCCTCCCCCATCTCCACCCTCACCTTACCCCCCACCCCAACTTCCTGTCCTCTATTAGCAAATGAAAAACCTCATGCATCCTATACAGCACACCCTGTAGCCTCAGCTGTCTTGGAGTTCTCTATGTAGCTCAGGCTGGCCTTGACCTCATAGAGATCTATCTGTCTGCCTCTGCCTCCAAAGTGCGGGGTCAGATGAATGCACCAGTACGTGAAGTTCATTTTTCAGAAGATGGCAGTCAAAGCCTTGCCCAAGGTCTCTAATGGCCCTTCAGGCTTTCTTGACTACCTGGCTCCCCATGTTCCCTGCCCATCTCCTTCCTCTGTGCTAAACTGCCAGCCAGGGATCTACTACCCCCAGCACCACCCCCGCCAACGCCAACGTTAGTTCCTCTTGCCGAAATGTACCTTCCCAGACCCTGCTGTCTGAATGCCTTGTTTAACCGGAGCAGCTGCTCTGAGCAGCGTTTCAGACTCTCATTGCGCCCTGCCCAGCCTTGCTCTTCTTCGCTTCACTTAAATCACATGATTTCATTGATTTTTATTGTTATTTCTGTCTTTGCTTCCTAAGAGAGTGAGACTCCATGAGAACAGAGCCTTTGTGTTGCCCAAATTTGATAAAGGAATATCACTGAGCTGCTCAGTACAAACCCTTTGGTAGCATTTTGTACCCAGATTTAGTTCCTTTGTGGTTACACAGCTTTTCTAAGATTGTCTGGTATCTCTATTTTAGCTTCCATATATTTTAAATTAGATTATCCCATTCTAACCATATGTGTGTACACACACACACACACACCAAACACAGATGTGTATATATAATGGTATTTGTAAATGGCTAGAGCGATGATTCAGCCTTTAGGAATGTGCTTGCTGGTCTTACAGAAGACCCGAGTTTGGTGCCAATCACTCACATTGGACAGCTCATAAGCACATGTAACTGCAGATCTGACACCTTCTGACCTCTACAGGGACCTGCACATATGTGTATATGCACGTTCTCAGTCACAAACATACAGTTACATAAACAAAAATTTGAATGACAGTTATAAATACGATGATGCTTTATGCCAGTGGAGAAAGGAGAGGAAATACAGAGCTTGGTGAAGAATTGACCTCCCTTTATTTTATATATTTATAATGAGAAAAAAATCTATAAAAACTGAGGTGATTCTGGAGCTTCCAAATGAAACGTTTCTTATTTGAATTTATACTCATTAATATTTTATCTTATAAACCACTCACTGCATATTTCACACATTGGTTGAATAACCGAATTGAGAACTTGGTGAACTTGATTATCTTTAACTCAGTCAATTATGTAATATGAAGGTTTGTTGAGATCTTTGGTAAAATAACCACATCTTTCACTAGAAATAGAAATCCAAGTAAAAGCCACCATGCACATGTATTGAAAAAGCAGCACAGAAGTACTGCTCAGTGGGTCAGAGGCTGTTTTTCTCCCATGGGGAGTCCCTGACTTTGGGGTTGGGGAGTTGGCTCAGTCAGTAAAGTGGCTGCCTTGCGAGCATGAGGACCTGAGTTTGACTCCCAGAACCCATGTAAAAAATACTGGACGTGGCGGCTGTTACCTAAATCCCAGGACTGGGGAGGTGAAGGCAGGTCGATCTCTGGAGTTTTCTGGCCAGCCAGTATAGCTTACCTGGCAAGTTCCAGGCCAGTGAGAGACCCTGTCTCAAAGAGAAAAAGAGATACACATCACCCAAGGTTTTTCTCTGGTCTCCACACACGTGGGTATGAACGTGCCCCTGCACACACACAAAAAATGAAGGGAAAGAGAAGTGGACTTGTGAAACTGAGAAGTGCTGGACGTACGCCAGATTCTCCCCCTTAACTACCGCAACCCTGGCAAGGTTTGCAGCCTCTCTGGGTCTAAGTGGGTTCATTGGTTAAGTACAAAGGTGAGGGGTTGATCTGTTGATTAGGATCAACAACAGAAACTCCACAGAGGCCTGGACGGGAGGCAGTCCTTCACACTGAAGCGGAGAAAGATGAGAGCTCTCATCTTAGGAAACTGCACAGAAGAAATAACAGCACCAGTAAGAAATATTTTTAAAAACACATTAGGAAAAGCCTTCAGCTAGCAAGAATAGTCTCTATTCAGTGGAGCAGAAAGCTTTTTGGGTGGCACAAATCAAACTTGTGAAGGAATTGATCTCTGGATGTGAGGCTGCCTTGAACCAGCCACCAGGTAGCCACACACATTAACCCAGGATGTGAAGTCAATGACTGAATCTCCTGAGTGGGAGGAGTGGAGAAACACTATCGAGGACCTCATGTCATTTGCCGCAGAGTAGGGTGTACAGCCATCCCACCATGAAATCCAGCTGACAGGTCATCACTTTAAAGGTTTTTTTTAATGTATTTTTCAATTCTACTCATTGCTTCTCTGTGTTTGGAAGATAGCAAATTCAAGACAGCACTTTTGTCTACGGAAGCGGAGCTTTAACAATCCAAGCCAGTTCCCTGTGTAGTCTTCAGCAAAAAGAGTAAACACGAGTAGTTTGGCACAAGTACCCATGTTTGAAATCTAATCGTAAGGCTTACTATGTAACTACCATTTCACTGAATATGCGAAAGGCTAAGAAGGCTAATTGCCTCTCCCAAATTTACCCTTTCATTTGCATATTTTTGGCATATTTCAATGTGTGGGGACACATGGAACCCTGTGTTCAAGATACCACTGAATATTTAAAACAATAGTGGGGGCTGGAGCAATGGCTAAGCAGTTAAGAGCACTTGCTGCTCTTGCAGAGGACCCAGGTTCAAATCCCAACACCCATATGACAGGTCACAACTCTTTGTAACCCCAGTTCCAGGGGGATCTGGTGCCCTCTTCTGGCCTCCACAGGCACTGCACACACATAGTACACTTAAGCTCATACAGGCACACATATACATAAATGAGAAAAAAAACCTTTAAAGCAATTATGAGTTACATCCTGGCTAAGACCTCCACAGTCATGAAAAAAACTGTAACTGATATTTTCAAGTCAGTATAACAAGAAACAAAATGGGGGAAGAGCTGGGTGGGCATAGTGGCGCAGGCCTTTAATCCCAGCACTCAGGAGGCAGAGGCAGGTGGATCTCTGAGTTCAAGGCCAGCCTGGTCTCCATAGTGAGTTCCAGGACAGCTGTGGCTATAGGGAGACCTTGTTTTGAAAAGACCACCCCCCCCCAAAATGGGGTAAGAAAATATGATCCTGCTCTGATGTTCCTCTGGGACACCATGGCTTCAGTGGGGTACATCAGAACCATCACCAAGTTTTCATCATGACTCATTAGCCACATTCTCATATTGTTGAGACATCCCAGCCACACACCCTGTCTCCAAATAGTGATGTGCAGAAGAAATGTCATCCATGACTGAGTATGCGGTTGATGGCTGGAGTGTACAGGGTTGGAGGTGGTGGGTAGGAGTCATACATTTGCATTTCAGGGACATTTGCTTAATGGCATTATTGTTCCCATTCTGTCTCAGGTGGCCTTGCTAAAATCTCACCTCTTTCCTCACCCTGCTCCTCACCTCCTCAAGGAACTCCTGTCAGCAGTCCTGTCAGCAAACTTTCTTCAGCACGGTTTCCAGAATCTTCTGAAACAACTGCCAAGCAAGGCCCAGCTTCTCACAGGGCCTTAACTTATACCCAGAGTGCCCCTGACCTGTCCCCTCAGATCCCGCCTCCACCTGTCATATGTAGCAGGTAAGAATTTTATAACAAGAAAGTATAGAACAATGTTTTGTTTTTTATCCTGAAAAGCAGCAGCAGCTAAAGTTTTCCATGGTTTTCTACGAGTAGAAATTTTATTCTCCACACAGTATACAGATAATCTTTGGAAAGAACTTAAATGGTTAACTGTATATTTATTTAGGCTATTTATGAGTGGAGAATGCATAAAATATATGATTTTGGAGCTGGAGAGATGGCTCAGCAGTTAGGAGTGCTTGCTGCTCTTACAGAGGACCTGAGTTCAATTCCAATTACTCACATTGGGTGATTCACAATCACCTGTACCTCCAGCTATAGGGCATCTGATGCCCTCTTCTGGCCTCTGTGGGCCCTGTACTCATGTGCACATACCCACCCAACCACTCACATATACACATAATTAAAAAGAAAAGTTTAAAAATATATATGATTTGGGGCTGGAGAGATGGCTCAGCAGTTAAGAACACTGGCTGTTCTTGCAGAAGACCTGGGTTCAAATCCCAGCACCCACATGAGCTAACAACTACCATTCATAGCTCCAGTTCCAGGGGACTCAATGCCCTCCTCTGACCTCTGTGGGCATTGCACTACATTGGTGAGCTTACATGCAGCCAATACATTCATATACATAAAATTTTTAAAAAAATAATTTTAAATATATATGATTTAAAATTGTATCAGGTAGTCTGATATAATTGGATATTTTATTGAATGACTTTTGTTTGTTACCCTGTATTTTATATTTATTTTTCAGATATAGTATCTGAAATTTGTGTGTTTCACTTTAACACTTTCAAAATGTATGAATAATAACATGGTGACACATTACTGCCTGATTCAAATAGTCCCTCTGAATGCAATCAGATAAATTGATTTGTTTTTCTATCACAGTGAAACAGAATTATAAACTGGGAAAACCATTTCCAAAAAGGAAGGAAGGGAGGGATGGAGGGAGGAAGGGAAAGAGGGAAGGAGAAAGAGGAAAGAAACAAGAAAAAAGTAGAAAATGAAAAAGAAAACAATTACAAAGTGTTACCACAGAAGATGAGCAAAAATGTCTGAGTGTCTCGGATATTTATTTTGCCTAATTTCCCGCAGTAAGTCCATTTCTTCTTCTTTTTTAAGTATCAAAACATGAGCTGCTTTATTTTTATTTACTTACTGATTATTTTAAACATGTTTTTATTAAACTTTTGTGCATTTCATATAATACATCTTAATCCCATTTAGACGCTGTCCCCTCTCTGCACCCCCATAGCCCACCCACCGGACTTTCACGCATTGGTCCCATTTCTTAAAAGTTGCCCCAGCTTCCAGTAGCACCGTGGATTAACCACCATGTCCCAAACACCCAGCACTTTGAGTGCCATTTCACATCCACACTATACTGCTCTAAGTTAAATCAATGTCATTTATTTTATCTCCTTTATTTTTACTTTACTTCCTTTCTCTTCCCAAGTATTTTTAATTGGGAAAAAAAAAAAAATCACTTTGCTTGTTTGGTCAGGGCCAGAGTAAAAAAATTAACATCCAAACGTTGCCCTACTGTCCTTTCTAGGCTGACTTTTTTTTCTTTTTCTTTTCTTTTTTTTTTTTTTTTTTTTTTTTTTGAAGTAGGGTCTCCCTGTAGCCTTAGCTGCCCTGGAACTCACTATGTAGACCAGGCTGGCCTTGAACTCAGAGATCTGCCTGCCTCTGCCTCCTGAGTGCTGGGACTACAGGCGTGCGCCACCACAGCCGGCTTCTAGGCTGACATTTTAAGTAAAGCAATTTATGTGGGATGCATGGCCACATCTCAAACGCCAAATACTGTTGTGTAATGAATGTCTAAGAGACATTCCACAAGACATTTTATCAAAAGCTCTGCGGAACTCTGCTAAGAGAACACCTTTTGGGTTTTGTTTCAAGCTGGGTTTCTGAGTTTGCCGGACCCCAGTGTCAGTTCCTTTAGATGAACACCCTGTAACTGCTCATGTGTCTGACCTTAGGCAGACTTGCTAAAGCAGCATTGTTCTTTGCTCTGGTCCCTGGGCCAGGATGAAGCCCCACAGAGTAATTTGCTTTGAGAACATCTGCTTTCTAGCTCTTCCAAGGATCTCCCCTACTCAGCCTCAAGGCTTGTAAGAAAGAAGCATCGTACATAAAGGAGAGTGAGAGGTATCCAGGGAGGATTTGCCACTTTTATAGTTTTGCTGCTTGCAGCTTATATTTGTGTGTTCTTAGAAGGAAGAGTGTAGTAGACTTTTATGAAAAGAGATTTCAGAGAAAAACAAGAGGATTTCACTGTCTACTTGTTCAGCAACGTTTATAAACCCAGTAGTGTGTGTTTTATTTGTACTTTGTAAATCCATAATTCAAACCATATTTTATTATTCTCTTCAAGGCAGCCACCCATGTAGGCACAGAATGCTCCAGAAACACACGACTAATTATTGTGGTTTCCCCTGCTGAACTTGAAGGGTTTGGCATCGAACCCTACTCTCTTGGCTGTTGCAGCGCCTTTTGCGACAAGCTGTGTTTCTGGCACAGGAGCTGGTACATTTGAACTAGTAATTTAAATAGCCCTTTTAGGTATTATCTTGCAATGAAAAAAAAATGTTCAAACTCATACACTCTCCTCCAAGCTTTCATCTGAGAACACAGGCACATAAGTTTGCTTTTTACTTTATTTTTCCCTTTTCTTTCGAATTCCTAGGGAGAAATGATAGGTTTTCATCCTAAGAAATAATTCCTCTGTAATGCTCTTCTGCTTCCATTTAAGAATGGAAAAGTAAATTCACTTAATACAGAGATAACACTGTAGCTGGGAAATACTTATCTCTACTGCATAGAAATCAAAAAAAGATGATGAATGTTTAGATATTAAATACTAAATGAGCACGCATTTCTTTTCATTGTAGAGTGGGTGATCTTGTACTTAAATAACCATGAGACTAGAAAATTCTTCTGAAATCTTTTGTACTATGCAGAAAAGAGCCCAGCCACAAAATAAGTGGTTAAAATCCAATCCTAAAGTGTCTCAACAAGATGGAAAGGGACCAGTTTGTAACTTTGCCTGGTCCTTGTGGGGTGACTGTACTTATTCTATAAAACAGTCAAGCTGTTGAGAGACAAAACAAACAAAAGGAAAAGGTCCTGTATCTTCTACCCACCTCTGTTAAGGAGCACCGTCCGTCTTTCTGGTAGTTCTAACTTTTTGCTTGCCTGTGGTATCTTGTTGGCTCATTTTTCTCAAACGGCATTGTATACAATCAGTTACTCACTCTTTGCCGAAAGTCCCTCCTCTTTGGTCGTGTCCTCAGAGCCTGAATGAGGAACTGAAAAAAAATCTCAAAATAGTTCAATTATTTGGGGCAAAAAAAAATTAATATGCTCTCATTCTGCTTTAATTTGGGCTGCCTTTCATTAAAGATCTATTTGGAAATAAAGTATCTTTAATCCAAGAAATAAATGGAATTCTGAGGCTCTTGACCAGGTTTAAAGGTATCCCATTGGGGAGTATATTCCCAGCCGATATGCACCAGAACCTTCAGACCCCCTTCATAAATAAATAGCAGTTATTTCAGGATTACCCAGATAATGTGGCAATATTTTAACAGCATTTCTCTCCAAATATGGGAACTATAGAGGAAGAGGGAGAGGAGGAGGAGAAAAAGGAGGAAGAGGAAGAGAAGGAAGAAGAGGAAGGGGAGGAAGAGGAGGAACAGGAGGAGGAGGAACAGGAGGAAGGGGGAGGAGGGGGAGGAGAAACAACACAGGAGAGTAGATGAACTTTAAAGCCCCTGTGCTCATCAGCTCTCTCTCACAGAAAAAGGGGAGCAGCATCCTGCCTATCATCAACTGCATGAAAAGCAAAGTGAATTGAGACCCATGAGTGGGAGGCAATACTACTTTATTATAGCTGTTGCTATGGTTTCAGTATGTGACACACACAGGCTCCTGAGAAAAGGTTGGATCTTGAGGGTTCTGACGTGTCCATGGACCAATCCTCTGATAGTTGTGGCCTTGTTGGGATATACTTGTGGGAAGTAGGAGGAGGGAGTCACTGGGGGTGCCTGAAGGGGGCACCCCTTTTCCCTGGCCCCTTCTTTCTCATTTACTGTGAGCCATTTGAGCAGCCTTCCCTGCCACACACTGTCACTGAACTGACACCTTGCCTCACCTGCCAGTGGGCCACCTGGTCACGGAAGGACACCTCTAAAACCAGCAGCCAAGGTGACTCTTTCCTCCCTGCAGTTTTTTTCTTTTTTTCTTTTTTTAATCTCAGGTCTTTGTTCACAGAAATGAAAAACTAAGGCAAAAAAATTGTCAATATACATGAAGATGATGTGTGCTTAAGAATTACTTTAAGAAGTAAGGAGGTACTTATGGCTTCCCCTGTATTTCCCAGCTGTGGCCGACTTTATTCGGAAGGGAATTCTGCTGATGGACCCCTCCTGGAGAGAAGTGGTCCAGCCACCAGAAAACCGAACAGAACAGGTAATGCACTGGTACAGATTCTGGCTCAAAATGGAAGTTCTTTTACTCTATATTTTCCTCTTGACTAAAAAGTAACTTGCATTCCTGATCTCTTTGTTTTCGAATTTGTACATGTAAAATTTTTGAGTTCTTATTTTAAAGTATGTGTTTACATGTGTGTCTGTCTGAGTGTGGGTATGTGTATGTGCATGCAGGTACCTACAGAGGCCAGAAGAGGACCTTGTATCCCATGGAGATGGAGTTACAGGTGTCCATGAAACACCGGGCATGGATACTGGGAATCGAACTCTGGTCTACTGCAAGAGCAGTCTGCATTAAAAAAAATATTTTATTAATCTTATTTTATGTGTACAAATGTATTGCCTGCATGTTTGTGAGTGCACCCATGTCACACAATGCCATGGAGGTCAGACAAGGGCTTCGGATTCCTGTGGAACTGGAGTTAAGGATGGTTCATAGCCGCCATGTGGGTGCTGGGAATCGAACCCAGGTCCTCCCTCTGCAAGCGCAGTCAGTGGCCTTAACCGCTAACCCATCTCTTCGGCCTCGCGGTCTGCATTTTTAATGGCTGAATCATCTCTGCAGCCCCAAATTTGTAAAGAGACAAGAAAGAAAATAAAAATTAACCATAACCTATCAAAATTTAGCATCTAAGTTTAGCTCACAGTAATGTTTTGATGTGGAACTATCCAGAGAATTTTATACTTTCGTACACAAATGTATAATAAAAACAGACTGTTTTATATAATGCATAGAAATAAATGTTGTATATCATACTATATGTAAATGATGTTCCATCTTGCTGTCCTGTCCACTGCAAGGTCATCCATCTTGGTATGGTGCTTTTGAGAGCACTATCTCAGATGCTAAGACAGGACCCTGATTGTAGCACTATGAACTTCAACATACTTTTTTCTTGAGGCAGTATCAGGAAGTTAAGAACACAGTGTTACAGCCTGATTCACCTCTTTGACATTTCCCTGCTTGCTTTTAACCTAAAATTATGCCTTGAAAGGGGAGAGACTCTAAATATGATTAAGATGTATTGTATGAAATGCACAGGACTTCAGTAGACATTTACATTGACATAAATATCTGTACCCTAGTTTCTTCCCTTGTAGACTGTGAGGATAACGGAAGCACCTACCCCTTAAGGCTGTAAAGACTCAATACACAATATGGAGTACTTATTGTACATTAGACTATCTGGGTCATTTTAAGTAGCTGCTTCCATTTATTATTTTTCTTGGCACTGCCCTGTGGACTTGTTTTTGTTTTACTTGAAATGTTCAAGGTAGGAAACAATGCATCAGTCATCTGTGGACTCTAAGCTGATAGTGCTACCATTCTAATTACATGTCTGCCTCAACATTTCTTCATAGATTACCCCCCATAAATTTGGATTGAGCTAATTTTTCTATAATATTATCCTTTAGCAATATACAAAGAGCCAGGACAGTCAGAGGGGAGCTTCCTGTGTGCATGCTCCTCTAATTCTATGAGGACTGACAAAATATGGGAGCAGGTCATAGCCTCTTGTGCTATGTGACTGTCCGGTGTGGCTTTTCCTTTCTATTTACAGAATCAGGAACGACACCTTGTCAGTCATGTTTTCATATTGTCCTTTATCCGTAAGTTTACTGTACAAGCAGTTGCATTAGAAGATGGAAGAAAGGTGAATCCTGGGAAAATGTTACAAAATATTTGAGTCTTCCTGATGACTGCTCAGGAGTGTGTTTGTTGACACTTGGCACTGTCTGCTTAGTTCTTAATTGACAGATAATGCTGCCTGGGAAGACGGGGGGGAGTGAAACAAGCAGGTGAATGAAGACACAGACTCCCAAGGCTGTATGAGCAAAGGCATTCACAAACCATAAATAAAGATCACACACACACACACACATACACACACACACACACACACACACACACACACACAGACACACAGAGAGAGAGAAATACAGCAAACTCAACTATATAAAACAATTTTGAGAAAAGAACACTAGGGGGATGTATTACCAGACTTTAAGACTTAATCTGTAATAATTAAGACAGTGTGGTTCTGATCTAAGGATCAGCAACCAGATCAAATGAAATTGGGCAGAAGTTTCTAAACCAGATGCACACCTATGCAGCCTTTTGATTTGCAGCAAAGATAGCAAAGTTATCTAATGGGTTTAGGAGAAAAATGAATGCCCCCCATCTCGCCATGTAAAACATTACTCTTAGATGGAGCCTAGACCTGAACATGAAATTCAAAATGATAAAGCTTCCTGAAGAAAACAGGAAAATAGCTTTGTGATTTTGGGTGAGTCAGAGTCTGTAAGTCATGGAAACCAACAACTACAGCAGGAGACTAGACTTCATCAAAATAATTAAAAGTAGGGCAGGAGAAGAGGCTCAGTGGTTAGATCACTGACCGCTCATGCAGAGGACCTGGGTTCCCAGCACCCACATGGAGGCTCACAACCACCTGGAACTCCAGCTCCAGGCACTCACATGGTATACATACAAACATGCAGGCAAACATCCATACACACAAAATCTTTTTTAATATTCAAAACATCAGAAATATAGGAACTAGAATCAGATTTTATAATCTAAGTTTTCTTGGCAAAGTTGACTAGCTACGTGACCTTGGGTAGTTCGCTGATTCTTTCTTATACCTCACTTTCCTATCACAAATGAAGATGACAGTAGAAACTGTACCAGCTTCCTAGGACTCTTGAGAGAAATTAGATAATATGAATAAAGTGTTTCAGTGGTGCCCGACATAGAACAAGCACTCAGTTCTGTTCACTGAGATAGCATCTTCAGCTGAGGATCTCCGGTGACTGGCCCAGGAACATGTTCTCTAGACAGTTTCTTCCTTCTGGGTGCCTTTATATTAGCAGTGGATTGCTGGTTCGATGGGGAATGGTGATGCAGAAAGGAAGGAAGGAAGCCACCAACTCCCAGGAGCTGGGCTGTGCACAGATCAGCCCACTCGCAAAACAGGCCAATGCTTCCTGTCCTGTAGACCACTTATCCCTAGGTGCATCAACACAATGTCTCCCACCCCTGGTGGCCATTCTAGATTTAGTGTGTAGTCAGCTGTTTGGTGGCTTAATGTATTGAGGGAGATAAAAGGAAGGAAACAAGTTCAAATTAGGCTAAGGCAATAGACCTCAGTGGTAGAGCACTTGACAACCATGCATGAGGCCCCAGTTTGAATTCCCAGTACCAGATAAGAGGGAGAGAGGGAGGGAGGGAGGGAGGGATGAAGAGACAAAGGAAGGGAGGCAGGAAGAAAGGGAGGGAAAGAGGAAGGGAGGGGTAAGGAGGAAGAAACTTAAACCTGTGGAACCAAAAATAGGCAAACAACTAGTCTAAAAGTTACTGAGACATCACTGAATGTGACATAAAGCGCACATCCTAATTCCCATCTCTTTATTAGGTTAAAAACATATTGTTCTTTCCATGATATTCTGTGTTCCTGATGTGCTGGCCCACAAAGGCACTATTCCCCTAAACATTGTATTTCTAATAAAATAATAAGTTTCAAGAAGATTTACTCTTTGACGCTCCTTCCCTAACATAGGTCTCGTAACAAGGTCCCTCTTTCTATTGCAGATGACACTGTCCAGGTTACCTCTGACTATGAGACCAACAACAACAGTGACAGTAGTGACATTTTGCAGAACGAAGATGAGGCAGAGTGCCCGGGAGAACCACCGAGGAAAGCATCGACTTGTGGCACCTACACTCCCGAGTCCATGATCTTCCTGGTAGCCCCACATCCCTGAACTCCTTCCTTACCATGAGGACTTGCCTCTATTGCGGAGACTGACTTAGACATAGAGCCCTGCACCATTAAATCTATAGATACGTCCATTTGGGTCCACATGTCTTGTAGCCCTGACAGGAGCATTGTTAGGATTTTCTTCTCTCTGAGGATATTGATTTTTTTTTCATAGCTTCTTATTTGGAAATGAAAAGTATAGACCTATTCAGCTGTGAGTATATGTGTGCAGGTGCACATGCATGTGTGTGCACATATGTGTGGAGGTCACAAGACAACCTCAGGTGGTTTTTTATTTTTTTTCAGTCTTTTTGAGACAGGGTCTCCCTATAGCCCCAGCTGTCCTGGAACTCTGTAGATCAGACTGGCTTTCATCTCACAGAGAACCTCCTGTTTCTGCCTCCCAAGTACTGGGTGGTATGTGCCACAATATCCAGCTTTTTACACTTTTCAGTTTTGTACTAGCCCTACAAAGTACACAGGTGGCACTCAGGTGTTATTTTTAATGTGTATGAGTGTATTGCCTGCATGTATGCAAGTACACTCATGTCATACAATGCCTGTGGAGGTCAGAAGAGGGCATTGAATTCCACTGGAACTGGAGTTATAGACAGTTGTTAGCCACCGTGTGGGTGCTGGGAATCGAACTCAGGTCCTCTGCTAGAGAAGCCAGTGATCTTAACCACTGATCCATCTTTCCAGGCCCAACCTCAGCTGCCTATGCTCAGGTGCCATCCACATTATTTTGAGACAGGCTGTCTCACTGGCCTGGCACTCATCAAATAGGTCAAGTGAGACCTAGAGATCTACCTGTCTCTGCCTCCTCTGCTCTAGAATTTTAAGTGCATGCCATCAAACACACCTGTTTTTTTTTTAAAGATTTACTTTCATTTTTAATTATGTACATACATGTGTGTCTTTGCAAGTGAGTGGAGGCCAGAGACATCTGATCTCCCTGGAACTGGCATTATAAATAATAATCTAATAATGCTAAATGTTAATAGAATATTAAATGAATAATATTAAATTAATAATTTAGAAAAAAGAGAGATTGATGTGCTGACTAATAGGCTGCTGTTCTCAGAGCATCTTCTGTTTTATCTTTAACACCTCCTTGATTAAAAAGTGAGGCAGCATTTATTTTCCTTTCTACATTAGACCAGGTCAGAACTGATTCTTACTATATACTAAAAGGTCCTTTGAGGATGACTTATCTGGTATCTAAAGACATCCATTGAGTGAGGTGGGACCTGCATGTGAACGTCAATTGCTATAGTTACTTTTGTTGTATTGGGTTTTTATCACTTGTACTTTTAAGCTAGTTTTCAGGTAAAATAATTTTTGTTTCCTCCTCTGCATCATCTTTATTCTTTAAAAATGTGTAGAATAAATCAGTATCCTGATTAGGATCAGTTGTATACTGTCTTTGCATTTACAGAAAGTACAATTTTCAGTGAAGGGAAGATTAAAGGAAGGAAATTAAGTTCCGGCAAGATGTAGCAACTGCCATGCTCCAGAATCAGCATTGATTTGAATCATTTGTATTTAAATTCAATCAGTCAAAGTGGAGGGATGGAACCTTCATCCCTGATCACGTATTTGTTTCACGGGTCCAATGTAAACCAGATTTCACTTCACTGTTAGATTTACTTAATTATAGAAAGAAATTGTTAGGACATAGCATCAGAAGTTTCTGACGTCCTTGAATCTTTATTGAAGAACATTGTGATTCATTCAAAAGTAGCTATGGTAACCTCTGGAAGAAGCGTCCATGTTAGGCTGGGCTGTATGTGGTCAAGGGTCAGGCAGGCACCTAGCAATGTAAGACTCAATCTGAAACTGCGTTGAATGTTGGCCCCTTTCCTCTGGGGCTAATTTTCTTCATATATTTTTAAATTTACCATTTCAGATGACAACTGTTCAGTGAATTTACCAAAACAATAAATGTTTTTAGTGAAATAATTACATGTGGTTCAACGATCATCATCTCCATTACAGGACAAACCAATTCTTGCTCCAGAACCTCTGGTCATGGATAACCTGGACTCAATTATGGAACAGTTAAATACTTGGAATTTTCCAATTTTTGATTTAGTGGAAAATATAGGAAGAAAGTGCGGCCGTATTCTGAGCCAGGTAAGAAATGCATTCATATGTATGATTTAAAATATAGATTGAAAGAGTTCATTGGTTGCCAAGAGCTCTGTACATTCTCCAGGTGTTGTATGGAGAAACGAAATTCTAGCAGAGCGCATTTGGTAGATCCCATGGCAGTGAGCTAGGCAAAGAAAGTGGAATCTCACACGAGTATTGTAGTCTATAATTAAAATATTGTGTATTACTTAAGACAAAGGAGGGGGCAGAGATACAAAATCAAAATGAATATGTGAGCTGAGATTCATAGAATTAAGGGAAAGAAAAGCTGACAGAGCCCCAGCAAGAAAACTGTCTGTTTATTAATACAAATTCATGCTATACTCATATCCAGTGTCTATTGCTTTAACGTCTGAACTTTACAATGCTTAGGCCTCATTAAAAATAAGATATGGTGCAGAAGTATGTTTCTGGCCTAGTGCTGTGAGAAACATGTCAATAGTGTTCTGTGTATTTGACAATCAAAACCTCCTGTATTTATCACAAGAAATATGGAGAACCATGGACATGTATAAGCCTGCGAATACTGTTTTCTGTAAGGTAGACTCTTATAGGGCTCCTCTGTTAAATGAATGATTGTTTGGCTGAGGTAGAAAGCAGCCATAGAGAAACTAAGATTTTAAATATGTTTGTTTCAAAAACAAAAGCCAAATAATGAATTTGTTATAAAATACCTATCAAGATATTCACAATTAAAGGACACAGTGTATATATCAACAATGATATATCAACCTATTTTAAAATATGGGTGTAAGTCAGTATCACAGTATTTGGTGAGCTCAAGGAAACTCTCAGCTACATGGGATTTGGCCTCAAAAAGATGTAAAATAACAAGAGTGCCTTAGTCTTACCAGAACCCAGCCCACATGCATGAGGACCACTGATGCTTTTCCACCAAATTGTAGAAATCAGTGGAACACTGATTCTGCCCCACATCCGAGATTGGCTGTCCTCAACGGCTCTCTAAATGTCTAAGTATGAAAATTCTGGAGGAGAGTCTCAGTCCGCAGAGGCTTGAAGGTGAACTCCATGGCCCTTCCTCTAGTGTTGAATACAAACCCAGAGAACTAACCTGGTTTTCAAGAAAATAAAATACTCCTGCCCTAAAGGAATTCTCACTCTAGTTGAGAAAGATCTGCCTCACCTAATGACAGATCAACTAGACATGAACCACAAAGCTAAAGAAATTACTGTCTATATAATATGCCGTTGCTGCCTCTGCTAGACTTTATTTTGACCGTGACTGTGTTGAGGGATCCAATGGCAAGTGGCCATCTCTACTGGGAGCCGAGTTCCATTCTTGTCCTCTCCCTGTGTTCACAATGCTAAGCGATATCTCTGAAGCTCACTGATCTTAGCAAGTTCAAGGGCAGCCATTGTATCTGGTGTATCGTAACCTCAGAATTTGGTCTTCTTCAAGGAGACTTTGAATCCTGCTTTCTGAAATGTATTGCTGAGTATAACTCTTAGAGTGAGATTATTCTTGAAATAGCCATGTAATGTAATGCACTGTGCCAAAAATACAGCTGTAGTCCAAGAAGTAATCATTACTTCCTACTGGAGACTGTGTTACACGTATGGAGATATAATTCTCACACAGCTTTGGGTGTGTGTGGGGGGGGTATTACCTCCCAAATGCCTTTTTTCCCTCCCCTCCTGCTCCCTCTCCCCTCTCCCCCTACCCTCTCCCTTCTCCCCTCTCCCCTCGTGCCAAAAATACAGCTGTAGTCCAAGAAGTAATCATTACTTCCTACTGGAGACTGTGTTACACGTATGGAGATATAATTCTCACACAGCTTTGGGTGTGTGTGGGGGGGGTATTACCTCCCAAATGCCTTTTTTCCCTCCCCTCCTGCTCCCTCTCCCCTCTCCCCCTAC